ATATATATATATATATATATTCATACACACAAGTGATCATATGCAAAAAAATACAAACAAAACAATTCTTAGAGACGTTAAACAAATATAAACGTTAAGTATTTTAATTAATTAAATATATTTTGCAGTACAAACTTTCAACGAGAAATTCCAGTCAGTTAGTTATTACTAACTTCAATTACATAAAATCAGAGAGTTGCTTTTAATGTCAGAAATATTGTCATGAATGTTGGTTGGATCATTCGCGAAATACTTCTGGCAAAAATATTGGAGCTACGAAAGTAGAGCGAAAAATGCTTCAAAACATGAATATATATTTCGCAGAAATATAGGCAACTTACGCCATCTGTTAACTGAGATCTAAATAAATGATTGAAAAGCATAGAAAAGCTGAAATGAAACAATGAACGTAAAAATAATGGGTTGCGCAAATTTTGCTACTTCTGCATTGTCCGTGGAAATCGTGGTATACACAGTGTGTGGGTAAAGTTTCAATTATTAGAAACACATCCATGTTTCTATATCTCCAGGCAGCAAAAAGATATTATCTAACATTAGAAAGATGCACGATAATACTACCGTGCTGAAAACGCTAGACTCTTGAATCCTATCTTCTAATATTAGAACTGATGTTATATAAGATTAAATCGTATTCGATCTAACATCCAAACTTTCAAAATTATCATCTATTTCATTACTTTTGGTCGAAAGCCACATTTTTGCGAAAGGTTAATAATAATATGGGATATATTATTAATAAAAAAACATTTATTTGCGAACGAAAACGATAAATTAAATATTACTTAAAATATCATTTTTAGCCAATGCAATCGTATGCCAGAAAACACTAGATAGTAGAAGTAAAATATTAGCAGAACTAAACTGAGTTCGCGAGCTCAATTGTTGAGTTATAGCTTCTTCACGATTGTTTACATCGCCATTGTTCCGTCGCTGCCATTGTTTGGGGTAATCAGCTAGAATGAAATTTTAAACTTCAAAGGTATTTAAAATTTACTAATTTTTTAGTAAACTTTATAAATTTCAATACATGAAACCTAAAAGTAATATCGTAGGTACTGTTTTTCCTGTAGAAGCATTAGTGTACGTAATACTCTTGACCGCTTCTTAATCAAAACACTCAAGAATTGAGGTAATACATTTATCAGTAAATATTATGATTGTGCTCATTTTTGACAATGTTTGCAAGTAATAGTTGACTACTCTGCTTAAAACGTATTGTCTGATTATAAATAATAATAATAAGTAATGTAGTTAGTTTAGAATAGGCTCTTAAACATTATGTTTACTTGGTAATTCGCATCAGACAGAATTTCACTGCAACATTGATAAAGATAAAAATAAATTTTTAGTAAGCAAGTTTGTAATGTTAAAATAATGATTAATTAATCTGCTACTTTTTAGTTAAAACCATTACATTTGAAATTTTATTCATTAGACGAATACTATTGTTACATTATTTAAATTTTCTGTTTAAAATATTGTAAAATAATGAGTTAAACATCTTTATTTTCATTTCTTATATATAGACAGGTTTGCTTGTTTTTGTTACATTATTAATTATATTAATTTGCAATTGTTAAAAAGTGGTTAAAAATAAGCAACAATACAGTCTATTCCAAGTGTACTTACGTTAAATGAAGAGCAGTTCTAAAAAAGTTAAAGCAGTTCTAAAACGACTTTTATTCAGAAAGTTTCTTAAAACAAATTTGAACATTTCCTATTGACTCTAGGAGCTTATGCAATGTACAAGAATATTTTGATAGTTAAGTGTTATTGCACTCTATCTTTAAAAAAAAAAGTTTTGAATATGATATATTTTTGTATCTGTATATATACTTGCATATTCACTTCCAATAAAAAAGGCTTAAGGGTTTTATACTATAATTTCTTCTTTAAAAAAAAAAAGAATAAAATTATTATTTGAGAGTGGTTATAAATGAAATATTTTTGAATTCTTGCTCGGTGATAATGAGATTTTTTGGTGCAGGTATTGTTATGGAAATCTACCCATTAAATTTTAGACATTTTCAAATTAAATGATTTAAGTTTTAAAGAAATATTCAATGCTTAATAGTTTTAAATTTAGTGTTTTCAATGAAAAGTTTAACTTTTTTCTCTTATAATTTTAGCTTCGTCTGCTGGATTCAGAAGCTTATCTACCAGGAAGGATTGGAAGGAATTTTGAGATAGGCTTCTGGTCTCTGCAATAATTCACTTTGGCAGAAAGTTGAGGGCATTAAGTTCGATCCGTACAGAAAACAGAACAACTGGTGTGTATATGCTACGGGTGCACTTAAAATTTGTCGGAGCTGAAGATTCTCTTATTGGTTGTTGTGTAGAAGTTTGAAGAAAGGCGCATTCCTGTGTGATTCATCCCTACTGTGTGTTTACATTATTAACTGTGGCTGATCATTTTATAAAAATCTTTCAAAAAAGAGTTGAAAGATTTCCAGGTTTATGGTTTGCTCTGAAATATAGATGCTCACAAACAAAAAGTTGCAACTGAAAGGGGAAAAAAAACTTTAAAGTGCATGAAATGACCTTAAAGTTTTGGAATTTTTTTTAATTTAAAAATAATAATTAAAATGATAATCAACTGCTGCTTTTTGGAATAAAAATTATTTTATTTAATGACAAATTTGTGTTTTTAACTTGTAATTTACCAAAGGATGTTCGATATGTTTAAATAAAACAATGGCGGTAAGAATATATTGCTTTTATAGTTGAGTGAAGTTTATATTGTGTTTTGTTTTAAAATAAAATAATTAAGTTGTGAAATAATATTTGTCATGATTTTATTTTATTAATTTTTTTATTCTTAACTACGGCATTGTGTAATTTATTCTGCAAATTTGTAATAAATCTTCGGAATTTTATAAAATGTGATTGGCAGATATATGTTCATTAATGATATTTAATAGGATATAATGTTAGAAATTTTTTTATAGTCATTATAGTAATGTTTAAGTATTATGAAAACAGATGTAGTTAAAATTCGTTTTCTTTTAAATTTTCAAGATATCGGAAGTAATTTTATTTTAACATTGTTAAACATTAACTATAGCTTATGAACATTTATACTACTAGCATTGTATTTATTACTCTAATTTTGAATTATTCGGTTCAAATTTGAGATAAGAAGTGTATATATGTATTTTTATGATGTTTAAAATAATTATAGTAAAAATTTCTTTGGCTTAATATTTAAAATTTAGCTGAACATTTATTTACACTACTGTAAAAGCAAAAGTTTTAACCAACGTAGAGAAGACTCTTGTTTAAATTTTCATCTGTAAAGTTCTTTGCGAAAGCAAGTTTCTTAAATGCATAACATAATTCTTTTTATGGCTAATTCATCGATACCAGAAACTTGACTCCAGCGTCTGCTTCATTTTTTCAATTTTATTTTCTGAAAAGCTCTGTTTAAAATGTTTACGTATGATACCAGCTTTTTTCTAAACCTATTTATGTCGTAACACATAATCTAAGCAATGGAATTGTTTCAAACAAAAGTCTATTTTGTTATACCAACGCTCTCAAAAGAGTAATGGATTGTAGTCAAATTTTGATCATTCATACTAAAGGCAACTTTTTAAAACTAATGTAAAAAAAATGTTATTATCTTTTCGTCTTATTCTGGAATGCATTTATATATTTGTGCTAATT